AGAAGGCACGACTATGCCAGAATGTTTCGTCTGACTTCCACTCATTCATCAGGAGGTTGATTCTGGACAGTCTTCCTAGGATGCATTTGACTGATGAGTAAGGACTCGCCACATCGCCCAGAGTTAGCAATACCCTCCCTTGAAAGAGAAAAGTGCTAGACTTTACTCACACCAACTCTGCAGTCCTAGCAGACTGTCGGTCCAAACCCCCGTCAAGACCGGCAGTAAATCTGAGAAACTTAATTTGTCACAATAAATCTGAGAAACTTAATTTGACACAGCCATAGAGGATCGTCCATGTCATGGAAGCAAGACTCAAAGAGGCCTACAAGACCAGAACTGACCGAGTTATACCAATGCCACACAACCACAAAGCTACACTAAAAAAAAAAAAGAAGAAAAAAAAAAAGCTCATTTAAGCAGCCACATAATACAAGGTTTCACGATGTTCCATGGAGAGCTCTCCCAGCACACGCAATCAGTCAAAATTTGACACAAAACTCTCTCTCTCTCTCTCTCTCTCTCTCTCTCTCTCTCTCTCTCACACACACACACACACACACACACACACACATAGATGGGGTGCATCTGCGTCAATCGGAACTGCGTGGGCAAGGCACGCACAGAAATGCACAATCGCGTGAAGAGACAGAGTACTCCCCATTCACACTGCTACAAACCTCCATCTTCTCAACGTCTCTATCTCCCATAGCCCTACCACCAAACTAAGGAGAAAGAGACTCTGCCTGTCAATCCCCATCTATGAGGCTTAGAGAACAAAGCCCCAGATACCCCATCAACTCAGTCCATCTTCTTCATTCCCTCCAGTCCGAAATATCTTCCAAAGATATTTATTAAAAGAAGAAAAAAAAAAGAAGCAAAGTCCGTCAAACCAAAAATTAAATACAACCAACCCCCCCCCCCCCCCCCTTAACCCCCCCCCCCCCCCCCCCCCCCCCCCCCCCCCCCCGCGAACACAACGTACCCTCATTTTGGCTGCACAGGACCGGCAAGATGGCTTGTATACATTCATTATCAGGGTGCGTTGTGCTCGGGGTAAGACGGCATCCAGCTATACAGCAGCCCACATATAGACATATGGATATTAGACAACCCTTTTTTTTTTCTTTTTTTTTTTTTGACATTAGCCAACCGCACAAAGCTGTTGCGCTATGTCCATCGCTTGGAAGCTGTTGCACCTATAGGTGCGTGGCTCCAAGCTATAAATGCCGCTATAGTCTATATGACTATAGTCACTATACACCTCTCCGTCCCGTCCACGGCATGCCATGTTATCCCTTTGGCCGCAATTGCTTACGCAGCTGCAGTGATGCCTACATGTAGAGGCCATAAGTAACCTCTTTTTTTTTTTCTTTTTTCTTTTTCCCGCGACTTTCTCTCTGCATGACTCAAATCCTCAGGATCGAAATTTCATTTTCGATTCTCAGTATTGTCGTTTGATGATCACGTACGTGTCACACCCACCGTGTTTCGTCTTTTCTTCCCCTTTAGTCATCATTCTCAATCACTTTCTTCAAGGCGCTACAGCAGCGGACGTGTCGACAATACCCATCTTCCCTGAACAAAACGCACCCTCATTATGAATATATACAGGAAAACATTCCGCTTCCACGGACTCATGGATGAGGGAGTGTCTAGATACAGCCATAACCATAATAATCGGGGCAAGACGTTCGTCCTCAGAGAGAGAGAGAGAGAGAGAGAGAGAGAGAGAGAGAGAGAGAGAGAGAGAGATTGCTACTATTATCTTTCGTCCATGAGACTGCATGGTCACAATAGCTATACTTGAGGCAACATTCCGTTTAGATACAACGACATTGATCGGGCGCTGTATTCGGGTGAAGAGGTACTGCCGTCTTCCCCCGAACATAACGCACCCTGAAAATGAACGTATGCAAGACATGTTTCCGGCCCGATACAGTCAAAATGAGGGTGCGTTGTGTTCGGGGGAAGACAGTAGTGGCACTCGCGTGGGCGTGAACGTAGGCTCGGGCCAACGCGCGCGCGCCCGAGAGAGAGAGAGAGAGAGGGAGGGAGGAAGAGTCTCGTGGTTCACACGCACGCCCGTGACTACACTCTTCCCTCGAATAGAAGGCAAGGTCATTATAGCTGTATTCAAGGGGGCATTCTGTCTAGGCACCACGATAATATGCGTGCGCTCTCCTGCGGGATAAGAGGGTAGTAGCGGCGCTGGCGCGCGCGCGCGCGCGAGAGAGAGAGAGAGAGAGGGAGATTCTTCTGGTTCATGCGCACCCCCCCTGCTGTGGTCTTCCCTCGAATAGAACACATGACCACTATAGCTGTATTCGAGGCAACATTCCGTCTGCATACAGCAATAATAAGCGTGCGCTATATTGGGTTAAAGATGGAGTAGTGGCGCGCGGGCGCGTCTCTCTCTCTCTCTCTCTCACACACACACACACACACACACACACACACACACACACCTGATGAGTCGGTGAAAGTCCACTCACTCATGCTTCTTTTGAGTGTATAGCGAATATGACAACACACACACGCACAGAGAGAGAGAGAGAGAGAGAGAGAGAGAGAGAGAGAGAGAGAGAGAGATTCACCTGGCAGCCAGCAGAAAGACAGGCCTGTGCCACAGGCAGAGGGGAGGGAAGAGGAGGAGGAGGGCAATGAACTACCAGAGTCAGACGTACCCTTCCCCACACGGGTTGCCTCTCCTCCTCTTTTACCGAACTTTAGGGCCTAGGGAGTCGCACCACTGGCCATCCGACAAAATTTTGAATGCATCTGGTCATAATTGCTCCAATCGCCATCCCCCAAAATTTTGAATGCATCTGGTCATGACAATGACCAGGTGCATTCAAAACTTTGGCGGATGGCCAGTGGTGCAACGAGGCCCTTATGCCACGCCATGCCTCCGCGAACAACACGGTACCCGACACTTGGGACTGGTCATAGTTGCTCCAGTCGCCATCCCCCAAAATTTTGAATGCATCTGGTCATGAACATGACCAGATGCATTCAAACATTCATGACCAGATGCATTCAAACATTTGGCGGATGGCCAGTGGTGCAACGACGCCCTTATGCCACGCCATGCCTCCGCGAACAACACGGTATGCCTGCGCGCCCCCTGGTCCTCCGCTTCTGAAAAAAGACGAAAATGCTCAACCGACCGGTAGCGAAAGAAAGAAAAAAAAAAAAAAAAAAAGGGAAAGGACCAACGGGCCTAAGAGGCTCGCCACACAGGCTGTCGAAAACCGGGTTTTCGACTATTTTGCATCGCCACACAGACTTTGGAAGAATTGCGGCTCAAAAAACTTTCGACAGGTGTCAGAATGGTCCTTTGGACAGCCGCCCTCCAGCAACCGTTTCCTCCTGCCTGCAGGTGACGGAAATTCGACAGTGACCCGCCAGGCTTTCCAAAATTGCGTTCGAATTTGCGTTGTCAGAGACTGCTCCCTGACAGCCGTGGCCTGTTTGTCCGTATGTAGTCAACAGTTGCTGTCGAAAACGGAGTGCGGGCATAAATTCATGCATGTAACAACTCCCTACTGTCCACTGCCTTCACAGCACCTGTCGAAAGGCCGTGTCGACTTGCCTACTTTCGACAATTTCGCCTCTCGACAGGCTGTGTGGCGATAGGGGGCAAAATTGTCGAGCGCCGGGCTGTCGAAACTTTCGACAATTTCGCCTCTCGACAGGCTGTGTGGCGATGGGGGGCAAAATTGTCGAGCACCGGGCTGTCGAAAAATTACTGACCTGTCCAAAATTTTCGACATTCAACAGCCTGTGTGGCGAGCCTCTAAGATCAGCTGGTGCACAGCATGATTCCATGAACTCTTGAAATAGAGACCTGTATGAATGAAATTCGCAGCCCGTCAGGGGTGCGTTTTATGCCCCTGAGAACATTTTTCGTCGTCGTTTGTTATATGGTTGTTGGAAAGCTGGAAAAACAAGGCATGGCAGTTTAGGGAGTGGTGGCATCTTATTTGAAACTGCAGGACAGGTAGCTGCCCGTGGGACCGCACGGGTTTTGATCCAGGACCGTGTAGGACCGGTAGCTGCACGTAGGAGGCCGAGGAGGCCGCAGTCCTTTTTCGAAATTGAAAAGGTGTGGGTCCACTTTTCTCAAATAGCAGAGTTTCTCGAATAGAAAAAGTACGCGTTGTATTCGAATACAACGTGTACCCTTTATATTTGGATTTCGAAAAGAAAAAACTCTTGTATTCCCATAAAATTACTTCTTCTTTTTGTTGGAGGTCAGTGCCTGCCCTTGTGCTCCCTGCCACTGACATGCTGCATGCTGCAGGTCTCTCTCTCTCTCTCTCTCTCTCTCTCTCTCTCTCTCTNTCCTCCTCTTCCCCCCCCCACCCACTTTCACTATGCCGATCCAGAGCAGATGCTTTCAGGATATTCCCTTCCTTCCTCATTTTCAACACCAATTCAACCAAAGGAAGGCTCTTTTGTGAGAGAGAGAGAGAGAGAGAGAGAGAGAGAGAGAGAGAGAGAGAGAGAGAGAGAGAGAGAGAGAGAGAGAAGCTGCTCTACTCCCTATCTTCCTTGTCCTTCTCCTTCCCTCCTCCCCCATCTTCCATATCCTCCTCCCTATCCTCCACACTCCAAAGCAGATGCTTTTGGGATATTCCCTTCTTTCTCCATTTTGAAAACCCTAAACCCAAAGAAGGCTCTTTTGAGAGATAGCAAACCTGTCCATGCATTGAATCGCATTGAATTCTACTTCCCCCTCATCTGCATATCCTCCTCCCTCCCTTATTCCCTAATATCTGGCTTATTCCCCTCCCTCCCTCCTTCCTCCTCCATCTGCCACATCCTCCTCCCTCCCTTCCTATCATCCTCCTCCCTCCCTTCCTATCCTCCTCCTCCCTCCTTCCCTATCATCCTCCTCCCTCCAACCTCCTCGCCATCTTCTCAATCCATCTCGCCCACCACAATCAACACCAATCCAAAGCCGGCGCTTTTGAGAGATCCCTCTCTTTTCTCCCTCGCAAAGGGCTCTCGAAAGCAGGCGCTCTTGGAAGATGGAGGAGGATCCGTTGATGCATTTCCCTCCCTCCCCATCCACCTTCCTTCTCTCTCCCTCCCTCAAAAAATGGCATCCCACCTGCCTTTACCCCCTCATGCAAAAGAAGTAATACCCACTAAGGATCAATTGCATCGTCGTCGGTTGCTTGTCCGCTTGCATGCCCTATGCAGTTGGCCCCCCGTCTCGCTTCCGCTTCTTTCCTCCTCTCTTACTTGTCTACTTCCAGCACCAATCCCAACAAGGCATTTTGGGGGGTGTCGGGCCTAGACTAGGTGGAGGAGGAGGTGGTTGTGGGGCCGGAGGGGGTAATGGTTGAGGCGGAGGCGTCGAAATGAGCGCAACTATCTTCTTATTCTCAAGCAGCTGCTTCATGTCACCGGCAGTCAGGTCAAGTCCCATTTCTGAAACCTCCAAGTCGTCGGCGCTTTTGAACTGCAGCCGTTCTATCGAGTCCTCTTCCCCAATGTGCCTGATTTTCTTCGCCCTTTTCTGCGCAAAATATCAAAATTTAAAGCCCACATATAGAACAAATAGTGTATATATGAGTTACTACAACACTTGCATTTAATTAAAAAAAAAAAAAAAAAGAACACTGTGGAAAGCTGAAGGGCACCCTTCGAATGAGGAATCTGTTCTCGGCAGTAAGAGAATGATCTTTACCAAAAAAAAAAAAAAAAA